TCCAGGGCTTTCGCTCCAAGAGAAACCGAAAGGGGAAGGGGAAGAAATTAGAGGCAGAGAGAGCAAGAGGGACCGGGATCAATGAAACCACAGAAGGAGAAGGAGAGGGAGCCGGAGAGGGGCTGGGAGGAGAGACGTTAGAGACGCAGGCGGCTCAGTCAGAAGCTGCTCCCAGTAGAATCTCCGTTTCCGCTTTGTTAATAATTTATCCCGCTGCAACTTTTCTTACCATTAAATAGGAAATAATTTGTTAGGGAGAATTCCCCGGGCACCCCGGCTTTCTCCCTGGAGTCTGGGGGAGGAGAGCTTGTCTCCGTGCCCTTCTGCCCAGCAGCGTGGGGACTCAGGAGCGAGCAGGATTTAAGACTTAGGATGTCTGTGTCAAACCTGTCACCCACTCCCACTTATCTCATGAATGGGGAAACTGAGGCACAGAGGGGGCAAGGCTGGGCCCAAGGTCACACACGGTGTTAGGGGAAGTCCCCTGCATCCATGATCCCGGGGGGCAGGGTGCTTGCTGGTTTATATGTTGCCCAGGACAGCAGAGATTCTCCCCAGAGCTCCAGGAGCTGCAGCCAAGGCGGGGGTGGGGCTAGCACTGCTGCCTTTCCACTCCCTCCCTGACCTTGGCTCCTCCCTGAGCCCCCAAATTTTGTAAGAGCAGAGCTCAGCCTCCTCCCTCAGCACCCCACACTCTGAGCCTCTGCTTGGCAATCTCTCGCCTCCCACCTGGGACACAGCAGCTGCCTGCAGCCCCCCAGTGAGGTTGACAACTCGGCAGACAGGTTCAAAAAAATCTGTCAGCTGCTAAACTGTTCCAGGCCTGCCCACATGCCTGGGTGGCAAAGAGATGGGCTGTCTGCCTCCCGGGTGGAACCTGTGTCTCGGGAGAGTGGCACGGGCTGGGGGCGGTGTCGTCCTTTCCCTTTTGGGTGAAGGGCACAGTTTCCCAACTTGTCTCAGAGCTGGGGCTTCTTGTCCTGCTGCAGAGCTCCGTGACCTCGGGACATCTCTCAGCCTTTTCTTGCTTGTAGAATGTAAATAAAAGGAGTCCAGCCTTCAGGATGGCTGAGCAGGGGTGGGGTGACTCCCAAGGGGTGCTCTGTGCAGGGCGGGCTCCGAGGGCAGAAGTGGTGGGTCTTCCTGTTGGTTGGAGCCACGGGGCCAGACCACGGTCATGGCGCCCTCCCTGCATCCAGACCAGCTGCTGAGTGCCACCAGGGGGCTTGCCACATGGCACCTGGTGTAATTCTTACAGCAACTCTGAGGGGTCCAGGTCATGGCCTTCACTGGACTTCCATTCATCCCACAAGAACTCCCAAGTGCCCGAGGGATGCCAGGAGCTGGGGCCACAATGGGAACGGAAGTGGAGGAGGCTGCTGCCCCCGGGAGCTAGCCCTCCAGCCCAGAAGCCACTGGGCAGGGGAGGTGAGCTATCTTCTTCACGACTCTGGTGGCTGTCCCTCCACGGGCTCCTTGGTTAGTGGCCTGGAGGTTCCAGCAGTTGGACTTCCCAAGGGCACCCTTCCCTCCGTCCCTGCTGCACTTCACCTTCCCATTCAATTACGCGTGCGCCTGCAGCTCGTCTGCGGTGTTTACAACCTGGCCTCTGACTCCAGCTGTACCCTTTGCACAGAAAATAGCATAAAAGCAAAAGCATTTAGGAGACGGAGGTTTCAAACGCCTGACATAAAATGGCCTCTCCACAGAATACCTCGTGCCAGACATCTCCTGCTTAGTGTCTGTGTAGGAGACTCGTCCCCACCTGGCTCCCTGGTGCTCTTGGTCCAGGCTGGCTGCTCTACCTCGCATTTCAGGGAACTTGTCCCTAGAGACGGAGAGCTGCACATGGCCGGGGCTGGGTTTCCCCCAAGATTCCCCAAGGTTGGGTCCCCTGGCATCCAGGAAGGTGATGTGGGGCCCATGTGTACCCAGTTTTCCATCTATAAGGTGGACATAGCAATAGCACCGGCCCTCCAGGGGGGACATGCAGTGCAGATCGGTGGGAAGCACCAGACCAGCCACGTGGCGTCTCTGCTGGGCTCCTCTGTCTGCAGCTGCCAAGGTGGTGCACGGTGCAGCCTCACGACTCCTCCCTGGGGGTTGCCGGGAGACTCCTGGGGCTAATGTGTGTGAAACCGCTGCTTAAGAACAACTGCTACCATTTGGAGGCATTTTCTCCATATTTCATACTTACGATCTCACAGGATATCAGAGGAGGAAACAGGTTCAGAAAAGTAAAGTGACTTTCTCAAGGTCACACAGCCTCCAAGGATAGAGCCGAGTGAGTCAGAACTCAGGGCTTTCAGACCCCAGAGCCCGTTTCCTTAGGGCTGCAGCCTCCAACAGGAGACTTGGGGCTCCGTGGGTCCCTGGAAGTCACATGGGAAATGTAGTGGGTCACTGCATTTTTTTGTAGGGGGCTTCGGGCAAACTGGGCTCATGAGCAGCTCCATCCCTGCATCCCCCCCCCCCCCAGAGAAGGACAGGAAGAGGGCCAGAGCATGAGCCGTGCTGTCTGGGGTGAGGGTGGTGAGCTCTCTGTGGACGTGGCCTTTCCGGGACACACAGTCCATGCTCCTAAATGGTGAAATGGAATTCTGAGTCCTCAGGGTGGAGGGAGGCGGAAGAAAAGGAAGAGATAGGAGAGGGAGAGGGAGAGGGAGAGCGGGGGTGGCCACGGCCTGGGTTTACTTCTCCTACTGGCTGTTGACAGAGCCCCCCTGCAGCAGGTGCGGGCTGGTAAACACTCAGGCTGATTCATTAGGTTCTGACCATCTGCTTCCTGGGGGCCACTGGGCCCTGCAGGTTGGGACAGAGGCACATTGGTGGCAGCCAGGTGGAGCCCCGTCTCCTGGCAGAGCTGGCTCCAAGTCTTCTGCCGGGAGCAGAAGGGGCTCTGAGGGGTCCCATGTCCCCCTCTCCAGGGACCATCAAAAGAGTGGGCAGGGCAGGGGACGGGAAGTCAGGGGGATGGAAGAGGGACCAGGGAGGCTAGGTGTGGCTGACTCACCGCCGTTGGGGTCGACAGGAACACTGGCACTCAACATGAGACCATTAGCATCACTACAGTTACCATCGTGCCATTAATCAGCTACTATGCTAATTAATATAACAATAACAGGAGCCACGATCTAGTGGGCAGTCTCCAGGTCCAGGCCCTTCACGGAGGCGTCACGGTCCCAGGGGAGGGAACTGGCTCACGGACTGAGTCAGGTAAGCAGGGCCACCCGGAGGGCCCTGAAAACAGGGAGAAGGGACAGTGGCCAAGAAGCAGAAGCCCTGAGGTAAGGGGACGTGGGAGCCAGGGGACAGCTTCAGTGCTGGGTTGAGAGGACCTTGCAGGCCAGCGCATGCCCCTGGTCCAGCGGGCAGAGAAACCCGGCTGTGGAAGAGGCCCAGCGAGAGCCTCTGCCCCCCCTCTTGTTCACCCAGGAGGGGCTGCTGTGAAAAGTGCCACAGGCCCAGTGGCTTCGGAGACACAAAGGTGTCGGTGCTGGGGGCTGAAGTCCCGGGTCAAGGTGCTGGGAGCCTGGTTCCTCCTGAGGCCTCTCTCCGAGGCTCCCAGGTGGCCTTGTCTCTGTGGGCCCTGGTATTTTGGGTGCCCACACTTGCTCTTCTTAAACAGACCCATCCGGCTGGAGAGGCCCACCCCTCATTTAATTCAATTGCCTCTTTAAAAACTCTGTCCCCAGATGGTCCCGTTCTGAGGTACCGGGGACTAGGGTACCAACACATGGATTTGAGGAGACACAAGTCAGCTCCTAAGAGGGCAGGGGGCGGGGGCAGCAGAATAGAGAGGCGCAGGGCACAGGGCCTGGTGCAAACTGTGCCAGCCCCAGAACCCGGGCAGCTCTCAGGGCATCTGCCCAGGGCTCCTCCTCCTACCAGCACAACGCTCGGTCTGCCCTGGACTTGTGCCCTCCCTGGCTGCCGTCCCTCACAGGCAGGCCTGTCTCCCCCAGCGCTCGGCCTTCTCATCACCAGCCTGGCCTCGGCCACCCCCAGGGCCTCTCAGCCTCCTCATTCAGGACCGCAGCGCAGGATGGGCTGTGACTGGCCTCGGCACAGGTGTCAGCCGGAGCAGGTTCCCTCTACCTGCCATGGTGACAGTAAGCTCACTGCAGTGTTGGTCCCTGAAGCTGTGCAGGGCAGGAGCGGGAGGAAGACGGGCACCAGGCAGGGCAGGAGCAGGTCCGAGGCACCCATCCTGCCTGCCCTGGGCCTCAGTTTCCCCAACTGATCAGTGAGTGTGGACTCAAGGGTGAGTTCTTTGTACCTCAAAGTGTGCAGATCCCATGAATCAGCAGGGACAGGCCACGTGGAGTGGGCAATGCCACCATGGGGTACCAAGGACATATCTATTTTAGTCAAAGAGAGTTTTGTGGATCCTGCCTCAGTGAACCCCTGGGTTGGCCCTGCTCACCGAGGGGCCCTGGGCCGTCTGGGAAGCGGTCCTCCACTCCCGAGGATCAAAGCCGTGGCCAGAGGCAGGCTGCAGTGCCACCAGCAGGGGCAGCAGGGGTGCCAAGTCAGCCCTTCAGAAGGTGATGCATCCGCTCCCCCCCAGGGGGCCAAATGGCTCATTTGCCAGTGAGAGGTTTTTAACTCAGATCCAAGCCATTTTGCCTCTGAGCAAACCAGACCCCTGAAATATTTATCAAAGGGCTGTAAGTGGTCTGAGGCACTGTGCGGTTGTTAGTGACCCTGGGTTGTTTTCTTTTTCTTTCTTTTTTTTTAATTAATAGATCTTATTTTTTAGAGCAGTTTTAAGGTTGCAGAAAATTAAGCGGAGAGCACAGAGTGCCTAACACCCCGCGTCTTTCCACCCTGACGGTCTCCCTGATGTTATATTATTGGTGTGGGGCTGGGCTCTTCCTGATGCCCAACCAGAGGCTCTGTGATGGCAGGCAGACATCTGGGCGCACCGGCAGGGGCTGGCTGTGGGGCTTCCCAGGCCCTGGCAGCCCGCCCACCCTGGCCTCCTCTCCACCCGGCAGGAGAACCCCTACCTGTGCAGCAACGAGTGTGACGCCTCCAACCCCGACCTGGCGCACCCCCCGCGGCTCATGTTCGACCGGGAGGAGGAGGGGCTGGCCACCTACTGGCAGAGCATCACGTGGAGCCGCTACCCCAGCCCGCTGGAGGCCAACATCACCCTGTCGTGGAACAAGAGCGTGGAGCTGACGGACGACGTGGTGATGACCTTCGAGTACGGCCGGCCCACGGTCATGGTCCTGGAGAAGTCCCTGGACAACGGGCGCACGTGGCAGCCCTACCAGTTCTACGCCGAGGACTGCATGGAGGCCTTCGGCATGTCCGCCCGCCGCGCCCGCGACATGTCGTCCTCCAGCGCCCACCGCGTGCTGTGCACCGAGGAGTACTCGCGCTGGGCGGGCTCCAAGAAGGAGAAGCACGTGCGCTTCGAGGTGCGGGACCGCTTCGCCATCTTCGCCGGCCCCGACCTGCGCAACATGGACAACCTGTACACGCGGCTCGAGAGCGCCAAGGGCCTCAAGGAGTTCTTCACCCTCACCGACCTGCGCATGCGCCTGCTGCGCCCCGCGCTGGGCGGCACCTACGTGCAGCGCGAGAACCTCTACAAGTACTTCTACGCCATCTCCAACATCGAGGTCGTGGGCAGGTAAGGCCCCCTGGGGCGCTGCTGTCCCTGGTGCCTGGGACATTACCTGGTAACCAAGGGGTACCTGGTGCCTGGGATGGTATCCGATACCCAGGTGGGTACCTGGTACCTGGATGTCACCTGGTACCTGGAATATTACCTGGGAGGTTATCTGATACCCAGGATGGTACCTGGCATCTGGAACATTACCTGGTACCCAGGATGTTATCTGGTTGCTGGGACATCACCTGAGTCCCAGGATGTTACCTGGCCCAGGACATTATCTGTAACCATGGCCACTAACTGATTACCGGGCTGTTACCTGCTTTCTGGATGTTACCTGGTTCCAGGGACACCACCTTAATCTTGGCATGTTCCTGGTTTTGAGGATGTTACCTGCTGGGATGCTACCAGGTGTTAGCCAAGGGGACTGCCTTTGACTCCTGAGGCTGTGCACACGGAAGCCTAGGCTTCAGTCAGGGAGATGCTCCTGTGGATGAGAGTGTCTCCTGGGGCCTAGGGACACTGGAACTGGCAGCATGGGTGAGGCTGAGCTAAAGCCTGGTGCTGAAGTGCAGGGGATGTCCATGGAGTCAGTGGGCACTTGTGTTCAAGGGTTCTCAAGACCCACCCCCTCCAGGCTCACTAGAAAGAACTCTGCAAAGCCATTATGCTTGAGGTTATAGTTTGTTACAGCAAAAGGAGACAGACTGAAAGCAGCAACGGAAGAGAGTCCAGGGTGGGACCAGGAGACACCAGGTACAAGCTTAGGGCTCTCCTCTCCTAGCAGAGGCATGCCAGCAGCGTGGAATCCCCCCAGTGAGGCATGACCATGGTGTGGTCCATCAGCAGCCAAGGAAGCTGGCCTGAGCCTTGGCATCCAGGGATTAACTGGGGGGTTGATCACATCTGCATGGCTAGATGCCTGTGTGGTTGACCTTAGTCTCTGGACTCTCCAGAGGTCAAACTACATGGCCCAAGACCCCACCAGAAGTCATATCACTAGCATAGACTCTGCTGTGCCCCAAGACCTCAGGAGAACATAGCCAGGACGCTCCAAAGGCTTGGAAGTTACACATCACCTCCAGGGGCTGGGCCAGGGTCAGACCTTTCTTGGGAACACAGGGTGTGGGCAAGTTAAAACCACTAGCTCTCGATGCACAGTCCTGGAAAAGGATGTGTTTTGAGGACACTTTATGGGGAGGCAAGACTCTCATGGAAGGCAAGCACCACCTGTGATTCTCAGAGCTGTTGTTTAGACTGTGGGTGTAGGTGATGACCAACTGGTTCTGCACGTCCCAGGCCGTTTGTTTATTTGGCAGATGCTCTGCTGGTCTGCAGGGGCAAGGACCTCATCCCTAAGCCATCTGTAGAGGGGGCTGCTGATTCTGCCTCCTGTGGATTGTGAGGAGGGTGAATGAGTTTAAGTTGGTGAAGTGCTCAGAACAGGGCCTGACACACAGTGCGTGCTTAAAAAAAAAAAAGTATTGAATAAAATATATACTGTCCAAAATAATGGCATGAAAGGACTGGGGCGGCTGAGGGAGGCCCGGGGGTGTTGAAGCATAACTGGGGCCAGGAGCACAGTGTCAGTGGGCGTGGGTGGGGGCTACGCCCAGAACCCAACTGGGACAGCAGGCCCTGGGCATCCCTCCTCAGCAGCTCTAAGTACTAACCAAGTGTGTAATTCCTCACAAGGGGGAGAGCAATTTGCTGCATGGTGTGCATAGCATAATCCTATTTTCGTACAGTATGTAATAGGCCTGTGTGTATAATTTCCACATCTTAAACAGGCCTTGCAAAGAAGCAGGTCTGGTCTCAGGCAGAGCTTTCCGGTGTGGGGGAAGCTGGCCGCCCATTGGCTGGCTGGCGGCAGGCGCGATCTGTGAGTGGGTGGGCAGGGCCAGTGCGGCCTCCTGTTTTCTCTTGTTTGCGTTTTGTTTTACTCTGTTTTGCGGTGCTGGGGGTTGAACCCTGGGGATCTCTGCCACTGAACTACACCCCCAGCCCTTATTTATTTTTAAATTTGAGATAGAGTGGCTTTGAACTTGTGATCCTCCTGCATGGGCCTCCAGAGTTGCTGCGACCACGGGCGTGCCACTGAGCCGGGCTTGTTTTATTTCACTCTGGCCATGTGTGTGGATTCTGTGGACAGAGGCAAAGGGAGACGTTTGTGGAGTCACCAGGTTCAAGGCTGGCAGACCAGGGGAAGCAGGTGCACCCACAGGGGCCTGTTTGGACCCCCATGTTCCTTGCCTTCCCTAAGTTCTACAGGAACTTGAAAGCGGATCTGGAAGCCACCTGTTGATGAGCACTTTGGGGGAGCCGGGGGCCCGGGTTTTGGTCTCTGGTCTTCCTGGAGACCTACGACCTCTGCCCTTGGAAAGCATTGCACAGTTCAGGGTTGGCCAAGGCTCGCCCTCCCCAGCCGGCTGAGCAGAGTCATCGCCTGTTTCCTGGCCAGCCTTGAGCTGCCACAGGGCACCCTCATCTTCTCAGCCTGTCCCAGCCCTGCCCTACACTTCCTTTGAGGTTCATGCAGCCTCCTGATGCTGGGCCAGCTGCTGGGCCAGGGTGGGATGGTGATAGTCGGGGCCTTGTGGGCACCTTAAACCTCTGCAGAGTGACCACCTTTCTGGGGTCCAGGGCCCACCCCTCTCCAGGCCTCAAGAGCCCGAATCTCCCTGGTGAGGCTGCAGGTGACCCCTGCCCACAGCTCCTCTGGGCACCCAGCCCCGCAGCGCCCGATTCCGTCCACAGTGGAGTAAGTACTCTTCGGGCAGCTGGTTGGCAGGAGTGGCAGCGTGGTCATGGATGAATCAGGTCTGGCTGGGTGGTTTGGCAGAGGCTGTGACTTCCTCATCTTTCCTTCTGGGAAAGCCCCCTGGGCCGGGAATCAGAGGACCCCAGGACAAAGGGAGCAGGGCGGGGCCTGACAGAGGATGCCCGCCGTGTTCCTGGGTGTTCCTGGGATTCCCTTAGAATTCCGTGGTCCCTGTACCCCCCACTGTGGCCTGCTGGTAATCTGGAAAATATCATCGAACATTTGCTGCAGGATCATTTGCTCTTCGGTGCTGTATGAAGGGCTTCGTTGGTAGTTTCTTGTTTGATCAATATTCATTTAATTCCCTGATGGTTCCTGGGGGCCTACGATCCCACAAGCTGAGGAAAAGCATTGAGCAAGCCGGACCTGACCCCGACCCTGTGGAGCTCTCCCTGCAGGGACAGGGTTCCCCTCAGCCTGATGTTTCCGGAAGAGGAATCGCTCAGCTAAACTAAGCGTCAGGCACCAGGACCCAAACCCAAGCGCGTCCAAGCTCAGTGGGTTTCCACGGTGGAGCCTTCTCTGGCCAGGTGCTGGCCCCGTGGGCTCCTCCGCTCGGGCCCCAGCTCCGAGTCGTCCCCTCCCACACTCAAGTAGTTTGTATTGGGGACCATCTCCCTGGCCTCTCCTCCGGAGTCCACAGTCCTTTGATTCAGATGTGGCTCCTTGGTCTGTCACATAGAGCCGTCCAACTCAGAGGGGGACTGGATGGCTGGGAGGCAGGACAGGAATGACAGAGGCACCGAGCTGCAGGTGGGGAGGGGGCCTGAGTGGCTGGAGACCCAGGGCCCTGGAACATGAGGAGCTAGTGCAAGTCAGGGGGCCAGAGGAGAGGGGACGGACTTCCACAGAGCAACTGCCTGCCCTCCAGCCCTTTTTGTATTTTATTTAGAGACAGGGCCTCACTGAGTTTCTTAGGGCCTCACTAAGTTGCCAAGGCTGGCTTCGAACTTGAAATCCTCCTGCTTCAGCCAGGAGTAGGTCACCGAGCCTGGCAAGTGCACAGCTTTTTAAGAAAAATTTTGAAACCGTTCAAGTAAAACAAAATGCTGCTCAACCCCAGGCCTCACGCTGCTGGCAGCCTCTGCTTGGAAAGCCCTGGGTCTTCTTGGAGTCGTGGCAGCAGCCACGCTCAGCAGCCATGCTCAGCGGGCCCACAGCAGGGCTGGCCTGCACAGCCGCAGCCAGGGCTCTGCGTCTGGGAGTGGCAGGAGAGCAGGGGCTGGTCTTTTCTCTCCCCCAGCCTTGCCTCTGAGGCAAACTCCTGTGCCCAGAACCAGCCTCACTGGGCCTTTGCCATCCAGGGACAAGAGGGAGTGGTCCCCGCTCTGGAGGCTCCAGGCCGGGCAGGGTGGTGTTTGTGGGAGGTGGTGGAGCAAGGTCTGTGCGTCTCTCCAGGTCCGTGCCCTCCTGCTCAGCATCGCCCCCAGCATGGGTTCAGGGAGCAGGAGCAGCAGGCAGCCTACCTCAGCCTCTCCGCGGCCTTGTGGCCTCGCCCGGGAGAGGAAGGACACCACCCAGAGGCGGAGGCCGAGTGGGCCTGCGCTTGCCGATTGCCCCCGAGGACTGGAAGCCCGGCTAGGGCTTGGCCGCTCGTCATGGGGCCCGGGGCTGCCCAGTTCCTCTCTGTTGCTTCTTGACTTGTTCCATAGTGTCCCATCCCTATTGGTGGCTGGTAACTGGAGGTGGACGGCCCAGGACCAGAACAGAAAGAGCAGATGGATGGGAACCTCGGGTGGGCGGGGTGAGGAGGGGAGGCAGAGAGAAGGCGCCGCCCCTCGCCCCACCTGGTTCTGGACCAGACCCTCCCTCTAGTCTCCTGTCAGCTGACATTATGGTGCTGACTCCCTGTGACTGTGACCCCCCTGGGGGCCAGGGAGGACGGCGCTGCCCCTCAACAGCAGTCCTGTCCCTCACTGAGCAAGGCACAGCCCAGGTGGCGCCCTGAGTCCTTTCTGGGTCTTGCCCTGGAGGATCCCCCTTAGTCCCGATCGGGAAACAGGACTAAGAAATAGATGAAGGCACCTTTAGATGGCTCTCATCAGAAAAAGAGAAAGTAATGCATGTTGACGAGGGTCTGGACACACTTGTCCCTCACAGGTGGGAGTGGAAACTGGTGTGGCCACTGTGGAGAAGGGTAGGTCGGCTCCTGAGAAAGTCAGAGATAGAATCATCATATAATCAGAAATCCTCCTTC